CATGTTTTGATGAAGTTGCTGCTTTTTGGAGAGCTCGACACGATTGCTTTTTTGGTGTTTTATTGAAGAATTTGTTTTGCTTTATAGAAAATGGTATTACATCCTATTAATATATTCAATTCGATTTAATAATGCTTACAAATTAATAAGTGAATAGATTGGCAAACAGTAATATGAAAGACCCAAAAGGACATGTTAGGTAAGTTGTTGAAAATTTTCCTCGTTTTTGTCAGATTTTGCCTACGAATTTTTAAAATAAAACCTTACATTTTCAAAGATCAAGAGAACAAAAAAAGTACAAATGTGAAGGAATCAAGTGCATTTATTTGTCAACTTAGAAGAATTCTCTGCAACTTCTATTTGATTAGTTTCTTATTTAGTATTATTTTCTCTTATCTGTCATAATTTTCAGGTGAATCATTATCATTTTTTTCAGATACTACGAAAAAGATCAACAGTTGAATTTAGTTGTAATTTTAGTTTACATTTTGTTAAACATTTGCTTGAAAACTGAGTTTCATTTTTTTTAAAGATATAGTGGCTTTGCAGTGTAATGGGTTTATACTTGAAAGCATCTTGCTTTTTTGAGTAGAACCATTTGCCCTCACCAAAAGCTCATGAGATATAATATAAAACAGGAAAGCGTAAAAAAAAGGCGAATTTTAAAAGATGCGTGACGGAATGACGAAGGAGTTCTCACGGTCATAATACTGCAAATTCGTTTTGCCTTCTAGGGTCCTAAGCAAAAATTCCCAATTTATTAAAATTTCGCTGAAATTCTCCTTCAATTCAAAATTCCTTATATTATAGGTTGAGCTTTTATAGCTATAAAATGATAATCAAATGAGAGCCTCAGCAAAGATTTACCTGAAAGTGAAAAATGTAAAATTTACATATGAAGAAAACTTGACGACGCTAATTAATTTCATTGAAAAATCACTAGACAAATTTTTTGCCACTATAGTGTTCAAAGAAAATGGATGTTCATTCTACAGCACTAAGCTCATTATTACGCATTTCTTCAAGGTTTATACAGCCAGGAAATAGAACCAAAAATTCTTATGCTATCCTCGAAAACATTATGTCACAAGTATTTGGAGAGATTTCATTGTCAAGACTTTTATCCA